CCAAGTTGCCCAGGCAGGTCTTGAGCCCGCGGGCTCAAGCAATTCACTCACCTCAGCCTCCCAAGGCGCAGGATTACAGGCTGAGCCACCGAGCCCGGCTGAAGAATTGTTTTGAGCAGTGGAAAAAAGTTTCTCAATAGGTGTATTGCATCAAATGGAGAGCTCTTTGAAGGTGACTAAAGTTTAAACATATAAGAATAAATACACAATTTTTTATACATAAATTCTGGTTTTTTGGAGTCCCCCCTCTGGATATACTGAACTCTTCAGCCATTATTCTCTCTCTTTTTTTTTGAGTTGGAGTCTCCGTTGCCCAAGCTAGAGTGCAGTGGCACGCTCATGGCCACCCCAGTGTCGACCTGCTGAGCTCAGGCCATCCTTCTGCCTCTGCCTTCCAAGTAGCTGGAACTACAAGTGTGTGCTACCATGCCTGGCTAATTTTTGATGTATTGTAGAGATGAGGTCTTGCCAAGTTACCTGGGCTGGTCTTGAACCAGCGGGCTCAGGTAATCCACTCGCCTCAGTCTCCCAAAGTGCTGGGATTACAGATTGAGCCACCAAACCCGGCCTAATTTTTTGATTTATTGTAGAGATGAGGTCTCGCCACGTTGCCCAGGCTGTTCTCTAACCCATGGCCTCAGGCAATCCCCTTGTCTCAACCTCCCAAAGTGCTGGGATTACAGGCTTGAGCCACTACACCTGGCCCCCATCATTCTCTTTTAATCCTCATTCCCCAGCAAACCTGAGGTATTATTTTCCCTGTTCAAGAAATGCATGCTCCAAAAGTGGAGTGACATGCCCAACCTCACACGACCAGGATTCCAAGGAAGATCTGGCTCTTTCTGCTGAATCGCAGAGCTCAAAGCAGTCCTCTGCTTCCCTCTAGACTTCTCTCTGAAACTCCCCCTGGGACCTTGACACCCGCTGCTCTCCACTCCACCACTGAAAGTTATGTCCTGGCAGAGTCTTCCTGGGGGTCACAGGTTCAAAATGGAATAGAGACTCTACCGTGGGTCGCTGTGTGAAACTCCTCCCCTTTTTTGTCCTCTTTTTGACCACAGACAGGACACTTCCCCTTTTTAGGCCTCAATTTTCCCAGCAGCCCCGGGGCTGGTACCTTTGAAGAAGTAGAAATCTCCATCCTCCCATGACACAGCAGCAGCCTCAATGTTGGGGGGCAGCTTGGCCCACCTTTCCTGGAGTGGGTGGGGCTCTGAGACATTGCCATCAGCTGCCACCTCCCAGAAGTGGCTTCCTTTAAAAATGTACAGTCGCTGTTGCCTGTCTGCTCAGAGATAAGAGAGTTGAGGAATGACCATCACCTCCTGCCATCCTTCCAGGGAACGTGCTGTCCTAGAAGCCGGTTTCCCAAAAAGGCAATCAAAGGACACGGTGTGCACCATTGGGGCAGAGGGGAGAGCAGGCAGGAGGAAGAGGTGTTATGTTTGGTGTGGGCTTGCTGTCCTGAAGTGTGCTTGGGGCTTGGGATTTCTGGATTTTATAATCCATCCCTCTTCCTTGTGCTCCAGCTCTGGAGACCTGGGAGATGTGGAAGGAGGGAAGAAAGAAGCGAAGCATGGGTGGGACCAACTTACCTACAGTGATGGCATCGAAGGAAGAGTGGCAGTATTTAGGCCCCCAGGCTACAGGGCGCCTGCCCTGGGGGCCATGTGGGTCCCAGGCCTCAAAGTCAGTGAACAGCTTTCCCGGGAGCTGGGTGGCGGCTGAGCCCCCTTGGGGCTTCCCTTGATGAGTAAGGAGAGAAGAATGAGAGAACACACGTGGGGTGGGGAGTACGTTGTACACTCAGGACCTCCCCCTTGGTTCCTAATGAGGGACAGGGAAGGAGAGTGGTAGGGAGAGCTTAAGGGTTCTCCCTGGAATCCTCTCTCCCACCCAACAGCCTGGGAAGGAGGGATGTAATGAGATAAAATTGGAGTAGGAGACCAAGCAAGAGTTTGGAACTAAGAAAGGCAGAGGGTCCTCTTCCCTGCGTCCTGAGCAATACAGTGGCATGAAGATAGAGTTCGGGGACACAGGCTTTGATAACTACAGCAAATATAATAATAGATCACTATCCTTGACTTCAGAGTAAAGAGAATCTACAAGCATAGAATTTGACACCAGCTCCCAAATGCTGGCTTGCTATTTCCTAGCTGTGTGGTCTTGGGCAAGTTACCTAATCTCCCTGAGCCCTATTCTCTTGATCTGAGGACAAAAAGATACACACTTCATGAGTATGTTGAACCTGGCCCAACCTAGAGACTCATGAAGTAGTAGCTGTTACTACCACACTGTGTAGGTTTCTCAGACTACAAAGCATGTTATATCCACTAGCAAAACAGTCCGGTGAGGTAAGCAGGACCTCAATTATTATCGCTTTTCACAGAAGGCAAGATAGAAGGCTCTCAGAAGGAAAATGCTTTGCTCTAGAGCGACTGCTAATCAGGAACTGAGGGCGACTTGAACCCAGGTCTCCTGGCTCTGCCCATGGCACTCAGAGGGAGACAGCCCGGGGCTGAGGCAAGTGCCAGGGCAGCAGCGGCCGATTCATCTGGCCTGGCCTGCCTGGGGGGAGAAAACCTTGTCTGAGCCCACCGCCATGCAGAGGCTCAGGCTTGGGGGAGACGGGCCATCAGGGCCACGTGGAGGAACAGGAGAGCAAGAGGGACTGGGGCAGGAATAAGGATTTGGGGTCTGGGATGAGGGAAGAGGCGGGCCCAAGGACAGGGTCCTGGTGATGAGACCGGATACATGTGAGGAGAACTGCCGCGGCCAGGGGTTGGACAGGAATCCAGTCATTGGAAGGCAAGGAGGGGAGGAACTGCCGGTGCACAGGAATCGGCTGGGACTGACAGAGAGAGGGGGTCCGCGGACTGGAGGCAGCAGGAGTCTGAGATGGGAGGGGAGCCTAGGCCTTCAGGATTGGGACGGTCCAGTGGCGGAGAGGCTAGGTCCCCGCGTTTAGGATGGGGGCTCCTGGGGTGGCAGGGGCGGACAGGTGGCGGGGCCCGTGGGGGGCTCACCATACAGGCTCTGCACCGCCAGCACGTCGTCCCAGCTGAGCAGCGCGTCCCGGCCCAGCCTCTTGTAGTAAGGCGCCATAAGAGCGCGCGGCGCGGGGGAGTGCGGAAGGCCCAGCGTGTGGCCGATCTCGTGCGCCAGCACCACGAACAGGTTGCGCCCCCGGCGGCGGCTCAGGGACCAGCGCTCGTCGCGGTCGAAGTGCGCTTCCCCGCGGCGGGGCAGGAAGGCGTGCGCCAGGGCGCCCCCTGCAGGCGGCACAGAGGGTCAGGGGGAGCCACGGCCCGCGACACCCCCACGCACCCGCCGCCCGGCGCAAATGTCGCTGGTGTGCGTGTGTCTGCCTTCTGCTGCATAACACCTCTCTCCTGGTGAAGGGGGGCAGAAGCTGAAGTGTGCAGAGGTGAGCAGAAGACTAGGCTGTGGGATTGCGGATGCCTAAAGAGGCACTGTGGTGTAGCTACGGTGTGGGGCCAAGTTGCCTGGGTACCAATCCTCGTTTGATCATTTACCAACCGTGTGACTTTGGACAGATAGTTTAACCTCCCTGTGTTTTAGCTTCCTGATCTAAACATGGGAATAATGATGGGCTTCTTTCTCACGGGGTTGTTCTGAATAAACGTGTGTGCATGTGTGCTACAAATGATGCTTACAACAGTGATTAGCACATAGCTGCTACATAATAATTGTTTTCAAAAAACGTATGAGTAGGCATAGTGGTCACCCCCAGAAGGAGGTATGATGGGACCTTCTGTTCTGTTTCTTACTCTGGGTGCTGGATGTGTTTGGTATGTGAAAGTTCATCAAGCTGTTAACTTAGAATATGGGGCATTTTTAGGTATATTTTCTTTAATAACAAATGCATGTGTGCATTCTGGGTCTGGTGTGGTGGTTCATGCCTGTAATCCCAGGGTTTTGGGAGGCTGAGGCAGGAGGATCGCTTGAGCCCAGGAGTTCAAGATCAGCCCAGGCAACGTAGCAAGACCTCATCTCTACAAATAATAGTAATAGTAATACTAATAATAATCTGTCCCAGCCGGGCTCGGTGGCTCAGCCTGTAACCCCACGCCTTTGGGAGGCTGAGGTGAGTGGATTGCCTGAGCCCGCGGGTTGGAGACCCGCCTGGGCAGGCGAGACCTCATCTCTACCATAAATCAAAAAATGAGCCGGGCGTGGTAGCGCGCTCCTGTAGTTCCAGCTACTTGGAAGGCTGAGGCGGAAGGATCGCCGGAGCCCAGAAGGTCGAGGCTGCGGCGACTGGGAGCGGCCACTGCACTCCAGTCTGGGTAACAGAGTGAGACTCCAACTCAAATAATAATAATAATAATAATAATAATCTGTCCCAAGTCATAGAGTTGTTTGGGGAGTCCAATGTCCTGACGCCTGAGGCAGTGCTGTCTTAGCCACTGGCCTCTGCCTCGGTATGGATGTAACCATCTCATGTGTATGACACTGGTGAAGTGGGTTACATGTAAGCACATGTGTGTGCTACATGTGGATATTTGCAAAGCCTACATTACTCCCAGTTCCAACTTGGGTTTCAGCAGCAGGGCCAGGACGGGGTCTCTGAGCTAGATGGGCTTAGCTGAAAGCAGGAGGGTGTGAAGGAGGTGGAGGCCTAAGTTCCCAGGCCACACAAGGGCTTAAGTCCCCACCCTGAAGGGATCCCATCAAGTTTTCTTTCCTCATTAAGAGAGAGAAAATTCAAAATAGCCCACATAGCCGGGCACCGTGGCTCATGCCTGTAGTCCCTGCACTTTGGGAGGCAGAAGTGAGAGGACTGCCTGAGAACAGAGAGTTGAAACCAGCCTGGGCAACTGGCGAGACCTCGTCTCTACAATAAAAGAAAAAATTAGCTGGGTGTGGTGGGGTGTGCCTGTAGTTCCAGCTACTTGGAAGCTGAGGTGGAATCACCTGAGCCCAGCAGATCGAAGCTGTGGTGGCCGTGAGCCTGCCACTGCACTCCAGCCTGGGCAACAGAGTGAAACTCTGACAAAAAAAAAGGCCAGGCTCGGTGGCTCAGCCTGTAATCCCAGCACTTTGGGAGGTCAAGGCGAGTGGATTGCCTGAGCCCACGGGTTTGAGACCCACCTGGGCAACTTGGCGAGACCTCATCTTTACAATAAATAAAAACTAGCCGAAGCCGGGCTCGGTGGCTCAGCCTCTAATCCTGCGCCTTTGGGAGGCTGAGGTGAATGGACTGCCTGAGCCCGCGTGTTCGAGACCCACCTGGGCAGCGAGACCTCATATCTACAATAAATCAAACATCAGCCGGGCATGGTAGTGCATGCCTGTAATTCTGTCTACTTGAAAGGCTGAGGCGGAAGGATCGCCGGAGCCCAGCAGGTTGGTGACAGAGTGAGATTCCAACTCAAAAAAAAAAAAAAAAAAACTAGCCGGGCTAGTGGAAGGATCGCTGGAGCCCAGCAGGTTGAGGCTGCAGTGGCTGAGAGCGTGCCACTGCACTCCAGTCTGGGTAACAGAGTGAAACTCCAACTCAAAAAAAAAAAAAAAAAAAAAGGAAAGAAATAGCCCATATTCAGGTTCTGAAGGCCAGTGTTGGGCAGAAGGGGAGGAGAGCAGTTAAAGTTGCATCCAGAAACCTTCAGGTTGGGGATAAACAGAATCTCTGTGGCATGGGTATAGGAAGCATTCCATGGCTGTCAGGAGGTAGGATGCCTCTTGGCCTGTGGCAGCAACTGTAATCATCGAGGGGGGAGCAGGAATGGGGTAGTTGGTGGGGAGATGAAGCAGTAGTGGGGTAGTGGATGTTTTTCAAGGCTCTGTCATGGAGAGCATCCACCCTGAAGAACAAGAGAAGCACAGTCCTATCTAGGGGTGGGGATAGATGACAGGGCCTCAGGAAATTCTCCCAGAAAACATAAGACTCCTTAGAGTTTGCAAAGCACTTTCCATGCAGAACCTCATCAGACAGTCCCTTCAGACACGTGATCCGTAATAGAGCAGGAACCCTGGTTCCCACTTTACGATGAGGAGTCTGGGGGCTTTTTGCAGGGGAATGCAACTTGACCAAGGCCACAGGGAGAATGACCGCTCTGCTGCCACCCCCAAACTGCCCCTCCCAGTTGGGTTCCTTTCCTGCTATGTGAAGAGATGCTTTGTGTCAGCACCTGGGCCATCGAAGGCGTTGCCCAGCCCATCGTTGTGATCCCCTTGGAAGAAGGTGAGGCGGATATCAGCAGGGCCTGTGGCCGGAGCCTCCCAGAACTCCAGCGCCGAGACGTTGCTCCATAGCTGGAAGGCGGCACGCACGGCCCCCCGAACTGCTGGCTCAGGCAGGCGCTCGGGCCAGTTCACCAGGCGGTAGGAGAGATGCTGCTTGTACCACTTGTTGCCTGCCACCCAAAAGGTCATGTTAGTCACACCTGGTGCAGAGCCTGAATCTGGTCCTTATGGACCCAGGATGACGGAGAGGTAGGCCCTTCCCCAGGGAGCGCCTGATCTGATGGGGTAGACACAGCCCTTGCCCTGTGTAGCCCCCCATTTGGCTAAGGAGATACTGCCCTGCTAAGGGGAGCCCTCAGACTTAGAGGACTACCTCTACCCTGGACAGTGCCCTGTATAGTGGCTTGGACTGGAGAAGGCCCAGTCCAGTGGAGGGGATGCAGCCTTTGCCTAGGACTTGAAAGATATTATTATTTTCCCCCAACTTGAAAAAGTCTGTCTGAACACCTGGTCTGGTGTCTTATTCTTTTCCACAGCCTAAAACAGCTCCTGCCTCTTACTGCAAATCCTGGCCCTGCCTGCCATGTCAGGGTGAAGAAGAGGTGGAGCCAGAGAGGCCACAGCTGTGACCACTCCTCCAGCATTCCCCCACGCTTCACACTCTCCTGCCACCTCCTGGAGGCGTCACTCTGCCCTTTCCAGTGCCTCGGGCCTGTGCTGGCCAACAGCAACAAGGCCCATTTATTTGAGGTCCTTTCCTGCCCCCTTGCTCTCCTCCTCACTTCCTCGGGGACTTCAGAGAGCTCTGAGGTGAAAACAAATAAGAACAAAGGGTGTGTTTTGTCTCTGACGGAGAAAAATGTTTCCATTCTGCTTAAGAGTTTCTCTCCCTTTGCCCCAAACTGCAGCTTCTCCCTGAGGGCTGAGACTCTGGCCTCTTGCCCCAGCCCTGGGTCAGCTGAGCCTGGGTCCCTCTCCAATTCCACACTGCAACCAGCAACAGGGTGGCTAGAAGGTCCAGATGCCCAGTTTCCTATGGGCTATTTCTGAGCCCTGCAAACTCAGGGGCTGAGATTATGACCTCAAGTGGAAGACTTGTAGCTTGGAGGCAGAACTCCTGGGCCCAGGGTGGGGTCACTGAGACCTGAGGGAAGGGGCCTGCTCAGGGTCACAGAATGAACAAGTCTCTGAGGCAGGCCCTGACACCTAATCCAGTGTTCTTTCCATTAGTCCATAGAGATGAGCACACGCATTTGCTAAGACTCCAGGCTTATAAATCTGCCTTAACATCACTTCTTCGGGTCAAAGCATGAGCTGAAATTCTCCAGATGGAAGGGAGGGTCTTAGAGAGCAGAGGAGCTGGCCTCCCTTCCCCTCCCCACCCATGAAAGTGGGGGAGGGGTATGTCCCTTCTCCCACCCCTGAGCCAAGCTCCATTCAAGGCAATGCTGCCTCCCTGGGCCTGTCTGGCCTGGCAGCCACCCAACCTCTGCCTCCCAGCCAGTGACCAACCCTCAGGGAGGGGAGAGGGAGTGATTCTGAAAGAAGGGAGGGAGACAAGGAAGGCAAAGGGAAGACCTGGAGCCCAGAGGTGTGACTGAGAGTTCGTTATGTACCAATAATGCTTTTGCTGGTCACACTGTAAGTCTTCACTGGGCACCAGACTGGCTGGCGCTGGGCTCTTTCACGTCCCACTCTGGGTGGTGGACTCCCAGGCTCTTTCTTTCCCTTCACAAACCTTTTGTCCTTTAGCATCCTTTAGCATGATGTGAGATGACTCCTTCTGCCTCTTGGCAGCTAGGGAGGCCCTCACTCCACAGGCAGGAGGAGGAGGGAGAGTGGGCAATTATATCATTTTAGGCAGCCAGTGAAGGTGACAGGTCTCAGAATAAAAATCCTCTGTGAAACTCTGTGTATGTGGGGTATATATGTGTGCTTAGAGGAAGGATAAGGAGGATGAACAGAAATAGGAATTGAGAGAAAACAACTGTTTTCCTCGGGAGAGAAGCAGAGTGGGAGGAGGCTGGTATGCTTGCCAGGAAGGAAGGAACTGGCCAGGGACCAGCAGCCTGAGCCCTGTCTTCCTCCAGATTTGCTCTCTAGGGGAAGACACTTTGGGCCCCATCCCTAACTCCTGACTGGGCAAGGCTGGTTTTCATGGCAACCTCCATAACCCAGTAATACCTGGTACTGCATCCCCCCCATCCCCACATCTCTGCTCTAAAGTCCAAGAAGAAAAAGGGAGGGCAAAGGAGAGAAGAGGGAAGAGCTAGAAACTTTGCCTGGGCAGGACCCTGGAGTTTTGACTCCCAGCAGGCAGCTGATACTGTGGGAAGAACGTGGATTGGAATTCAAGTACCTCCACTTGCAAACTTAACATGACAAATGATGGAATCTCTCCAAGCCTCAGCTTCCTTATTTGCAAAATGGGGTTGTAACGTGGTAAGGGACGAGGCTTAAATGAGATAGCAACATGAAGCTGCCAGTAAATATCCATTGCTTTCTCTTTCCTTTTCCACCCCAGACACATCCCAGGGCCCCCCACCCCACCAGTTTTGTGAAGGCACAAGAGGCCTGCAGGCATAGAGAGGAACAGGTACCTGGAATGAGATGGTCAGATATGTTTTTTAAAAGCCCTTAAAAATTATTTGTTGTTCATCTGAAATTCATATTGAACTGGGCATCCTGTCTTTTATCTGGCAGCCAAGTAACACTATCCAGTGTCCAAAAGTATAGTGATAAACAGACCCTATTAGATCCTTCCTTTGGGGCATGAGAGGGTGAGATGTAGCCCAGAAGGGAAGCATCTCCAAGTGCAGCTGCTGAGAGGGTTTCTGGGGCTATCCACTCCCCACCATGTTCTCCCTTCCACTTGGTAATCATGGACCATCCTAAGGGAATGGAGCCTCAGTGAACAAAGTGAAAGGACAGACAGAGAGTGGGAAGCAATTTTTCATCTTGTTCTTAAACCCTGACACAATGATGAGAAAGTAGAAGCTACGCTTTTGGAGAAATGCACACTTTAGGAATAATTAACTTTACCGACTTTGTCTTTTCAGAAACAGACTTCCAGGTATCAGAGGTGTTTCATAGTGGCAATCAAGCTTGCCTAGAGTAAAGGGAATTTACAAGGCCTAAGACATCATGCATTGGGCAAGGACTGTAAAAGTCATGAAACTTGTAATTACAAAAGTTATAACCACTCAGAGGGAGAGCAGGTGGGGATTCGATCTTCCAGTAAATTGGGCACTATCTACAGGGAAACCAAGGATCCCCCGAAGCTACGCACTGGGAATGCCTATAAGGTAAGGGGAGGTCCACCCTCTACTAGCTCTAAGGAATGTCGTTTGGGAAGGTGCAGGAGAATTAGAATCCTTGTCACGTCCTTCTCTAGGGGCTATGATAATGTGGGCAAACATTAATGGGTCTCTGCGTCACAGGTTCTCCAAGACATCCACAGGTGGTCGATAAAGAAGTCACGGCAGTCAAGTGCAACATCTCCAAGAAAAGAATTTAAGCCAGAGCCGAGCTCCGTGGCTCAGCCTGTAATCCCGCGCCTTTGGGAGGCTGAGGTGAGCGGATTGCCTGAGCCCGCGGGTTCGAGACCCGCCTGGGCAACTTGGCAAGACCTCATCTCTACAATAAAATCAAAAAATTATCCGGGTGTGCTAGCACGCGCCTGTAGTTCCAGCTACTTGGAAGGCTGAGGTGGAAGGATCGCTGGAGCTCAGCAGGTCGAGGCTGCGGTGGCCGGGAGTGGCCACTGCACTCCAGTCTGGGCAACAGAGTGAGACTCCAACTCAAAAAAAAAAAAAGAATTTAAGCCAGGACTCTGGGGGCTACGACGCCACATTCACCTAGAGTGTAGGCCCACTCCCTATCTGTGGGGGGTGAACTTTTCTTAAATAAATCTCTTCTTCTCTCACCTCTGTGTCTCGCAATACTTTCCAATTTACTCGAATCTCTGGGTTGCCAGCGCGCACCTCCGGCTTGCCAGCCCTGGCAGTGCTGCGTGCCTCTCTCCGCCTCTACACCCTCACCCTGTCCGTCTGAACCCTAACACAAAGTAACGGGGCCCAGGTCACACAGCTGAGACTTGAACACAGGGACTCCAGCTCCAGGGATGCTGCTCTGTCTGTTCTACCAGCACCTCTGAGCTGGTTTCCAGGTGTTTGCCAATCCAATTCCATTGCGTCTACCCATCTAGCCAGCCTGGGTCCCTAGTACTGACTGTCCATGTTCCTGGTAAAGCAAGGAGTCAGCATTGGGTCAGCAACTTCTGTCTTCTACTACACTCTTCTGCCCAGAAACACGGTGGGGTGGGACACAGAACATGTTGACACTGAGGACATCTTGACCCAGAGCCCAGACCCCAGTGCCAACTCCTTGCTTTACCAGGAACGTAGACAGTACTGGGGACTCAGACTGGCTAGACTCAATGGAATTGGATTGGCAAACACCTGGAAACAGCTGCTCCCCAACAGTAAGGGGAACCACCCAAAATTTCCTTATGGATTAGCTAAGAGATGAAAACAAACTATGTGCTTTCTATCCTGTTCATCATAAATATTATTGGTAAAAGTTGTTAACACAAATTAAAGTGGCAATGGCCCAAGGTGCACGCAGTAAAATTAATTATAGATGAAAACCTGACTGAAAACATTCATCTTGTCAGAAATCTTGAAAACTGCAAAAATTGACCAGAGAAAAATTAGGCCTGATAAAAGCAATTAAGTTGCTAAAATTAC